GCGTGCCTGCAGCGCCAGAGCCTGGACCAGGACCTCGGAGGACACCGAGGCAAGGGACACGGCGAGTCTCCTACGGTTGTCCCACCCGAGCAGCGCTGTGCACGCCAGGGAGCTGGTCAACGCCTGCCTTGACCGGAGGGTCGCTGCCTCATTTAGACCCTCGGCGGGGCGGCGTGGGGGTGGGGTGATCCTCGAGATGCAGGGTTCTTTAGGGTCTGTGTGAGCGTCTGGAGCAGAAGGAAAGAAGGGGCTCCAAGGTGAAATGAAGGCAGCAGCCGATCATTGACGCACTCACCCACCGAGCAGTGAGCATCTTCGTGTGCGCTGGTGACCTGGAGACAAGAAGGGATACCCGCTCTCTGCTCCCCTCGCAGCCCCATCACTTCCTCCCCAAATGCACAGCACTGTCGGCTGGGCTTTAGACCTGCATCACTGGTGAGTTTGCCGTGCGTCCTGGAAGTATGTTGGGTTTTTTGGTTTTTTTAAAGAGTATGATTTTTTTTTGAATCTAGTTTGAAAAAAAACTATTTTCAAGTTGAAAAACTTGAAACTCTATATCCACTAAATAACAACTCCTTATTCCTCCCTCCTCCCAGCCCGGGGCAACCACAGTATTTTCTATCTCGAGGCATTTGACCACCTTGGGTATCTCATACAAGCGGAATCCTATAGTGTTTGTCTTTTTTTGTGACTAGGTTATTTAACTTCCATAATGTCCTCCACAAAGTTCATCCACGCAGTAGCATGTGTCGGAAATTTCTTCTGTTTTAATGATGAATAATATTCTATGGTAGGGATATACCACACCTTGTTTATCCGCTGACGGACTCTTGGGTTGCTTCCACTTTTTGGCTGTTGTGAATAAACAATGCCACTATGAACACGAGTGTATGAACATGTCCTAGACTCTCTGCTCTCAATTTTTCTTATATTTAAAATATTGAATTTTTTTGTTTTTGTTTTTTGTGGGGATAATTAGGTCTACTTATTAAAATTTTTATTTTTCCTTATTTATTTTTAATGGAGGTACTAGGGATTGAACCTAGGACCTTGTGCGTGCTAAGCACATGCTCTACCGCTGAGCTCTAGCCCCAAATCTTTTTGACAGGGATCTGGAAATGGAATTGCTGGATCATACGTTAATTCTATTTTTTAATTTTTTGGGGAAGTATTATACTCTAATCATCCCACTCCCCCCCCCTTTTCTTTACCTCATCTATTGTCATCATCTTATACTAACTAGACATTCTAAGGTCTCTACCCTGGACCCCTTTCCTGATTTCTAGACCTTCAGACCCAGCTCTCAAGCTGGCATCCCCAGTTGGATACCAAGTGGCTTCTCAGAATAAGCATCACCCTTCAAAACCCCACTCTCCGAAGTCTTCCACGCTACACAACTCCATCCGTCCCGTTGCTCAGAAGAAACAATTCAGCCCTATTTTTGCTCCTTTTTTCCCCTCACTTACCACATCCATTAGAAAACTCTGTTAGCTTGACCTGCACAATATCTCCAAAATATATCCTCCTTGTCTCCATGACCTCCCCAGTCCATAGCACCATCATCTCCTGCCTGGAGTACCCATCAGTACCTTGCCACATCTCTCTCTCTCTCTCTCTCTCTTTTTTTTTTTTTTTTGCTGCCCTGGTTCCACGCTGGCTGATTCTCAACATAATAGCCATTGGGATCCTGCTAAATGAGGGTCTAATCATTCGTCCGTTCTCCTCGAAGACTCCCCGAATCTTGCACTGACCTGCAGGGGTCTTCCATGGGCTCTACAGCATCTTTCCAGCTTCTCTTGCTCCTTTTGCCTCCCTGTGTGGTCAAACGCTAGCGTCTTGTTGCTTCCACGACACACCAAGCCTGTTTCTGCCTCAGAGGCACTGCCCTCACTGGCCGCCTTTTCCCTCTTCTCGGGACATTTTTCTCTCAGGTAAACAAAGCCTGTTTAGCTCAGCGGGAGAGTGTGTGCTTAGCATGCAGGAGGTCATGGGTTTGATCCCCAGTACCTCCATTAAAGAAAAATAATAATAAACAAATATATAAGCCTAATTATGTCCCCCCGAAAAACAAAACAAAAAAAATTTTTTTTCAAAAAGCCCGTTTCCTCGTCTCCAAGTCTGTTCAAACATCACCTCCTCACACTCAGGTACAGAAAACCCACCCCAGTGTGTCACCTGCTCCTTTTCCTTGCGTGATTTTCCTCTAAATATGTGTCAATCTCTGACACGCTGACATTTTCTTACTTCCTTTCAAAATTCTTGTCCCCATAATGAAAGCACCTTGATGCCAGAAGTGCTTCTTATTGCCTTTGTTTTATTGTAGTAAAACAGCCATAAAATAAAACACCACTTAACATTCTTATACAGCACAATTCAGTGGCACTGAATACATTCACAGAGTCGGGGGAACCGTCATGACCGTCTATTTCCAGAAAGTTTTCATCATCCCAAACAGAGACTCTGTATCAGTTACACAGTAACGCCTCGCCATCCCCTCCCACCCCCCGCCCCGTCTCCTATCTGCAAGCAACCCCACTCTACTTTCTGTTTTGAAGAACTTGCCTTGTAGGTCGCTCATATAAGCAGAACTGTACTGTATTTGTTCTTTTGTGTCTGACGTCTTTTCTCTTCCTCAAGAAAGTAAAGTGAGGATTTATTGTGATAGAACACTCTCAAGGGGAGAGCGGGCGGACTCAAGTGAGTGCTGCCTGGCTTCTCTCACTTAATATGTCATTTTCAAGGGTCGTCTGTGTTGTAGCACGTGTCAGAATTGTACTCACTCCTTTGTAAGGGTGCATGATATTTTATTGTATGCGTATGCCACGTCTGGTTCATCCATTCTTCGGCTGACGGACTCTAGGACTGGTTCCACCACTGCTGTGAATTTTGCTGCTATGAACAACGGTGTGCAAGTATCTGTTTTGGAATCCCTGCTTTCAGTCCCTTTGAGTTTACACCGAGGAGTGGAGGGGCTGGGTCTTATGGTAATTCTGTTGACCTCTTGGAGGATATTCAAAGCGTTTTCCACAAGGCTGCACCGTTTTCCCTTCCCACAAGCAACATGTGAGGGTTCCAATCTGTCCACATCTTCGCCAGCACTTGTTATTTTCTGTTTTCTATTTTCTTGGGTTTTTTATACAACAGCTGTCCCAGTGGGTGTGAAGCGGTACGTCTTTATGGTCTTGATTTGCATTTCTCCAATGATTGAGCTTCTGTTTTGGGTGCTCACTGGCCATCTGTATTATCTTCTTTGCGGAAGTGTCTAGTCAAGTCTTTTGGATGGTGGAGACTTTGGGAGTTGTGTTCACTGATGTACCCCTGGTTCCTATGACTGTGCTGGCACATAGTAGGTCTTCCATAATATTTGCTGAATGAGTCTGTGAATAAATAACTAAATATCACTCTGCCACGCAGAACCATACAATGAAATACACACACAAACACACACACACACACACACACACACACAACTGGATGACACTTAAGACTGAGCCTGAAGGATGATCAGGACTTGCAGAGGCAGGGCTAGGGAGGGAAGGGCATTTCAGGAGAAGGAACTACACAGGCAACGTCTCAGAGTCACAGAGGTCTGACCGGGCTGGGTGCAGAGATGCTGGGAGACGCAGGAGGAGGAAGGGATCGGGGTGGAGAGCCCAGCAGGAGCAGAGCCACCAGGGCTGCAAATCCAGCCTGTGGTGTGTGCTCCTCGGTCTCTGGCCGTGGAGGGAAAACAATACTGTTCCTGCTTAGCAGGAAGTGGACACTGATGGGCTCTGCAAACACAGCCTGCAGGCCTGTGTTTCCGAGAGAGATGGAGGCAGGAGGTAGGTGAGCTCAGAGACCCAAGATGAGGCTTCTGGAATGCCCAGGGTCAGGACGGGGAGGAGACAGACATCAAGATGAGCTGCGCTTTGGGGGAAGAACGGATAACACTTAGCGATTTGTTGGATCTGGGAGAAGGGAGGGAGGTCAAAGTGGAGAACCACCTGCCCTTCTGGCCTTAGAGATGGGGATGCCTTGTCATCAGCATGACAGGGAACCTACCAGAAAGTGGGTTTGGGGAGGAAGATGGCAGCTCAACTCTGGCCATGCTGAGCAGAGCAATCCCGGGGCCACCCTGGGGGAGGTGTGCAGTGAAATGCTGAGTGGTGACACACCTGCATCACTCACCTGAGGGGTTAACCTGGGATGCCTTTTGCATCTGACACGCCCCCTGCGGGCCTGGCTGCCTTCCTCCAGGGAGACCTCACTCTGAGAGAAGAGATCAGACTTTTTCAGTCTGGTCAGATCCGAAGCAGCGGGCAGCAGTCTCACCCTGCCCCCATTCCTATTCAGGGGCTGGAGGGGTGATGGAGGTGGGAGAGGGCAGGTCTGGCCCCACAGACCCTCTTGAACACAGCAGGTACTTCCCGGCCTGGTCACTAGGCGGCCGAGCAGGTCGAGCAGGTGCCCACGTGGAGTCCTCAGCGCCCCCCACGCCCACCCCAACCCCTTTCCGGTCAGCCTCCTGCCTGCCCGGCTCCCGCCCCTCCTGCGCCCCGCCCTCTCCGCGCCTCCCCTTCTCCGGTGGGGCTCACTGGAGGGCGATGAGGCAGAGGAAGAGGAACAGAATCTTGACAGCCGCCTCCCAGATGGCCACCACGATCACCTCTACCATGCGCCCCGCTGGCCCTGCGGGAAAGTGGCATGAGGACGGATTCACTTGCCGAATCCCGATCCTGTGTCCCTCCGCTCCCAGGAGGACTCTGGACATCGGCTTTCCAGGCCTTCCTGATTCACCGGATGCCGGACCACTTGTGCCTGGGCCTCACCCCACCCCACAACCTGCCTGTCCAGCAGTTGGACTCTGCACCAGTAAGGGACTGGTGAGCTAGGGCATTGGTGGGGTTGCGGCTCACTGTGTAGCCCCTGGACACTCACTCTGCAGGAACAGGCTCAGAGAGATGTGCTGGGAGCCCAGATGGTTCTGAGCTCGGCAGGTGAAGTCCCCTTCATCTCCCATGAGTACCTGCGGCAGCTCCAGCACCCCCGGGTTGGTGGGCTGTGAGGGGCTCAGGGTCAGGCTCCCCCGGGCCCAGCTTAGCTTGGCAGGTGGGTTGCTGTCAGCGACACAGACCAAGAGCAGGGACTGGCCCTCCAGGACTGAAAGCGATGAGCCATTCTCCAGGACTCTGGATACTGGAGAAAAAGAGACAGAGGGTCAGAGTGACAAAGAGATTGAGAGAAAGAAGGATATAGTTGGAGGACAGCTGAGAGGGACAGGCTCACCGGCACTGAATGAGACAGCCACACTCTGGAGGAGTGAGCATGAGCCCAGAGCACGGCTCAGGCCCCATCCTTGTCTGCGCTCAATGATGCAGATTCATCTCTGCACTGATGGACTCTGTCTGGCTGGATCTAGGCCCCAGGAAGCACCGAGGGGGGTCTTGGGCTTCACAGAACACCCCTGCACATTGTCAGCCCTGCCCTGAATTCCATGTCCCCTTCGTTCAGAACCCGGATTGTCCCTGAAAAATTTTGTCCCTTATTCATGTTTTCACTTGACACTAGTTAACTGATTTCACCAGGTGTCTCCGAGGTGACTGACTCTTAGAAATTCAGTCTGGTGGGGAGCGGGGGACCCAGGAACAGGAGTTCACAACACCACATGACACATAGCGTGATGGCAGTGACTTTGGCTTGCAGGAGCCCTGGGCATGCCAATGTAAATGCTACTGGCAGGTCTAGGAGGGCTTCCTGGAGGTGGTGGCATCTGAAGTTGAGTGTGAAGGGCAAGCAGGGCTGGCAAGATGATGATGAGGGGGTGGAAGGGCATTGCAGGAAGGAGGAACAGAGAGTACAAAGATGACCAAGGCCTGCCCATGTCCAGGAAAAAGTGAACAGACCTGCAGGGCTGGAGGGAAGGGGGTGGGGAGTGGGGAACCTTCAGAGATGAGACCACAGGAGGAAAAGCAGCATCTGTTTTTTAAACTCAAAGTGGGAAAAGCAGAAGCCAGAAGAGAAGACATCAGTAAATGCGGCTACAGATATAAAGAGATCCCTGTGGGAGGGTACAGCTCAAGGGGTAGAGCTCATGCTCAGCATACATGAGGTCCTGGGTTCAATCCCCAGTACCTCCTCTAAAAACACATAAATAAACCTAATTACCCACCCCCAAAAAAGAGATCCCTAAGAAGTATTGTACGAATCACTAACCAACAACAAAAAAGTAGTGCCCTACTGAGCAAAGTTGTTGCAAATTGTATTAGAGAAAAATGGCCAATTCCTCTTACTGGAAAAAAAGTTTTAAGAATGCATAATAAAAAGTCAAGTCACTCAGTAGAAACCTGAACAAAGAAGATGTACAGACAGTTTGCAGAATAAAAAAACAAAAACAAAAAAAATGACTTTTCAACATACAAAATCATGTGCATCATCACCCACAACAAGAGAAATGCTACTTAAAACTACATGGATATTCCATTTTTTTCACCGGATATTGTCAAAGCTCTAAAGGTTTTGCCCCCACTCTGCTTTGGAGAGGCTAGGGGAAACACCTACACTTTTACCCATCTCTGGTGGGGTGGAAACTTGTCAACCTCAATGGAGAAGAGTTTGGCCAGATGTCTTATAAACAGAGCATGTGGAGAAAAGGGAACCCTTGTGCACTGTTGGTGGGCATGTAAATTGGTGCAGCCACTGCAAAAAAAAACTTTGAGGAGGTTCCTCAAAACATTAAAAATAGAACTACCATATGATCTAGCAATTCCATTTCTGGGTATTTATCTGAAGAAAATGGAAACATTAACTCAAAAAGAAATCTACATCCCCATGTTCGTTGCAACATTATTTACAACAGCCGAGACACCGAAACAACCTAAGCGTCCATCAATGGACGAATGAATAAAGGAAATGCCGTGTATATACAATGCGATATTACTCAGCCATAGGAAAAGAATGAAATCTAGCCATTTATGGCAACGTGGATGGATGCTGAGGGCATAATGCTTAGTCAAGTAAGTCAGACGATCTCACTTACAGGTGGAATCTCAAGAAACCAAAAAACAAAAAAACTCATGGATACAGAGAATATGGTGGTTGCCAGAGGTCAGGATGGGTGAAATGGGTGAAGCAGGTCAAAAAGTACCAACTTCCAGTTATAAAATAAATAAGTCATAGGGATGAAATGTACAACATGGTGACTATAGTTAGTGATACTGCATTATGTATTTGAAAGTTGCTAAGAGGGTAGATCTTAAAAGTTCTCATCATAAGAAAAAACTTTGGAGTTATGTGTGGTGACAGGTGTTAACTAGACATTATGGTGATCATATCAAAATGAATATAAATATCAAATTATTATATCGTACACCTGAAACTAATATAATGTTATAGATCGATTATATTTCAATTAAAAAAATAGAAAAAACACATAACCCAACTATTTAACTTTTAGGAACTTATCCCAAAGTCACACACACACACGAGAAAGTTACAAGATTATTCATGCAGCGTTTCGGTCAGTAGAATAAAATGGATGCCCGGATTTTCCACTGACAAGATGTATACAAAACCATGCAATGGAACACTCCACAGTCACAGAGAAAAACATGGATGTCTATACTACTGGTATCAGAGGCTGCCTGAGCCCTTCAGGTGGGCAGACCAAGGCTCCGAGTAGCGTATGGACACTGGTTACTTCCTGCCAGGGGACTGGGCATCTGAGGACAGACTCCGCCGAGCATTTGGAATTTTTGGCCATGTGAATATATTACCTGTTCAAAGGTACTTAGGTAAACAATTGTTAGGGAAATAAGAAGAGGTGGCAGGAGGAGCCATCAGGACATGGATGATAAGAGGCCTCGAAGGTGGGCTCTGTGGTATAAATTTTGCCTTGTTCTTGGGTAGCTGAGGAGGGAGTGGACCAGTGCCAGGGGAGTGAGGGGCTGCTGGGGCAGCTGGGCACAGAGGCCATGGGGGCTGAGGAGGGGGAGGGACCACTGGGCTCACCTACAAGTGGGCCTCTGGTCACCGGTCCAGGATGAGGCAGGGAGCTGGCCCAGCCCTGCGATGGAAGAGGTCCTGCTCCCTACAGCTCCTGAGGGGGCTCCTTCCTACCTGTGCTGTTTCCTTGGAAGACAGTCACGGTCAAGTTCTGTGGCGGGTCTGGGACAGAAAGACACGGCGGATCCACATCAATGGTGAGGCCTTGGTAGACATGGGCCCTGTGTCCCCAGGAGCTGCATAAATGGGGAAAGGGTGGGGGCCAGCATCCTCCTGACCCTCTCTCAGCTTGGTTTCTGGGACCCAGCACCCAACATCCGAGGCCCTGACACCACCTTCCCTGTTGCCCTCAGAACCCCTCCAGGGACCCAGGTGTCCTGGCCTGGCTCTCACAGGACACATTGAGGTGGATGGTCCTCGTCGTGGTCACTTCAGCTCCAGGCAAGGTCACCTGACAGGTGAGGTTGGTACCATGGTCCTGGGGCTGTGGGGTGAGGGTGAGCACTGAGGAGCGGGCTGTCGTGGGGACCTGAGGAGAGATGGTGGCCCCCTTCCAGGAGAGGATGGGGGGGTGTGCCCCGCTGACAAGCCCAGGGCACAGAGCAGGTCAGGTTTCTGGTGCGGCCCGCCTCCAGGGTCTCTGGGATGAGGATGTCAGGTGTGTGGGTCAGGGCTGGTGAGGAGATGGGGAGATGCGGGGACACGTGTGTCAGGAGGTGCAGCCCCAAGAGCCTCAGGCTTGGGTCCAGCTCCTTCCTCTGAGCCCCCAACCTGCTTTACCCCGCCCCCTCCCAGAAGGGGCTCCCATCCCAGCCCTGTCCTAGGACCTCCGAGTCCTTCCCCTGTGGCCTTCTCCTGGACCCCACTCCTTACCCGTCACATACAAGGAGAGCCGGTTAGCTTTGTAATTATATTTTGTATTTCCTCTTTCCACACGAAAAAAGTATGAACCGTTGTCCCTCCTCCTGGCATCTCTGATGTCCAGGGAGCAGTTGTAGGCCCGGGGGTCCCCGAGGAGGCGGAATCGGCCCCGGGTCTCCTCCTGCACTTTCTGATCTGGGTTGTTGGTGGCCACAGGAGCATCCTGCAGCGTCACTGCCCCTTCCTGAAACCAGTAGCCGAGAGCAGAGGTAAAGATGGTCCAGATCTGCCAGGGGTAGGAGAAGGAGCAGGGCACGTGGACACACAGACCCTCCTGCACCACCACCAGCTCCTGCACACGCAGCGTGTAATCCTTCCCGGGCTCCGTCTGGCCCTCGGCGGCCCCGCTCATCCACCAGAGCAGGGCCAGCAGCGGCAGCAGCAAAAGCATGTCTGGGGTTGGCGATGCCAGGCTCCCCGGGGAAGGTCTCTTTCTCAAGGTTCGTTTCTCAAGAACTGGAAATGGAAGTTGCAAGATTTCGAGGCGGCCGCCAACAGGAAGATGAGGGTGAGGTCAGAACACTGACCCTTCTCAGAGGAGGAACTTCACCCCCAGAGACTGCTGGGACCAGGAGAGCCCTTAGAGATCAACCACCCACCACCGCACATGCACTCTCGAGGGCCCTGGGCCAGGCACGGTGGGAGACACCCCACCTCCTGCCTCCCTGTCAGTGCCCTCCTCCTTGGAGGCCATTTTCTGCAAAGTGACAAAGGGTCCCTAATGGCCAGACCCCTCGAGCCACAGGTGTAGATGTTTATAGAGGTCGATCCAGCCAGGGTGGGACGTAGGGACATGGGAGGTGGGAGGTGAGGAGGTTTACTGCCCCCCCCCCAGTGTCCACGTGGCAGGCATCCCCTCTTCTCCCGGGGTCACACACCAGCCCTGGACGCTGCTCGCTGAGTCACCGCCCCATGGGGAGACAGTAGGCATCCCCGCACCTGGAGCTCCAGGTGACGAGGAGCTGTAATTCTGTGAGAATTTGTGTTTTGTGTGTTTTGAGATTCCATCTGCGGGTGCGACCATATTTAGAATTCTATATGTGGGGAGGAGAGTGAATTAAAACCTTTGATCTTCATGAAGTGCTCATTCTGAAGGATGCCATTTTCCACGCTTAGTGCTTGCACGGTGAAATCTTTTACCATCTTGTCGTTCGAACCTTTCTGTTTTAGCGCTGTTTCTTGTAAGTACAGGGAAGCAGGCTTTCATTCATGTATTATGTCCTTCGTTTCTTCCAAGCACAAAAGGATGAGACTGGCTCTCTACTGAGAGGAGAGAGAAAGAGGGGAACTTGACAAATCAAGACACTCCCCTCACTGGCCTGCACGGAGCAGGCAAGGCATTGCTCATGCAGACCTCTGGCCACGGGGTTCTGGTGCTCAGCACACGTGGGATGAAGACCGCCAGGCTGGGCATGATCACCACTGGGAACCAGCAGGATCTTTTGGGAATGAGTCTTGCTCCTGGATATGGAGAAAAGGTTTTGGCTGTGCAGCTGGTGGGTGTGGAGGAAGTGGTGGGGATCCTGGGAGAGTGGGACAGGCACTGGAGGGGGGCTCTCCTTAAATGGATTGACTGTCAGTTTTCAAAATGTGTTAGGACATTCTTGTTATTTGCTTTTCTATGTTTATTTTAGAATCAGCTTGTCAAGTTCTACCAAAGCACTCACTGAGAATTTGCGATTGCACTGAATTTGGCCATCAGTTTGGGGAAACTGGTCCCCTGACAATCCTGACTCTTCCAATCCATGAACATGATCTACATCTCCACTTAGTCAGGGCCTCTTTCATTTCTTTAAGCAGTATTTTACTATTTTCAAAGTACAGGACTTGCTTATATTTTAATTTCACATTTCGTGTTACTGTAACCTGCATCTTGAAAAAATACTCAATTTCTGATTGTCCTTGGCCAATATGTAGAATTGCAGAGGAATTTTGGAATTTGAACAAGTATCTTAACACCTGGCTAAACTCTCTCCTTGGTTTCAGAAGCTTCTTCGTGGATCACTTTAGATTTTGTATGCCCACAATTTTGTTGTCTGTGAATGAAGACCATTTTACTTCTTACTTCATGCATGAGATAGTTCTTATTTCTATTTCTCACACGTATTGCACTGGGGAGAACCTACAATACACCGTGTGACAGAAGAGGTGAGAGCAGCCGTCCTCGCCTTGTTTCCAGTCCTAGCGGGGAGAGCTCTGTGGGCTCTGGCACTGGGCCCTCCGTGCCTTAGGAGAAGTGGTTAGCAAAAACTTTCTGTTAAAACAGGCAACCAAAGTCCTGGCACAAGTCTGTGTTCAGAGTCCACAAAAAGCGACTTTTGTTAGCTGCCTTCTGTGTATCTTTCATTCTTCCACGACAATCTGGTTAGACACAGATGGTTGACCTGCTCTGCAGAACAGTGACGTGAGCCACAGAGAGCCAAAGGGACTCCCTCAGTAAGTGGCACGGACGGACTTGAACTCAGTGCCTTTGGTCCCAAGTCCTGTGGTCTTCCACGTACACCAGGGCACTCATACCATTGCCAAGAAAGTCATTCACTTTACAATAGTTGGAGGTGGAGTGTGATGGGCTGAAAACAATCATAAAATTAATCAATTGAAGTTCTAATCCCGGGTACTCCAGAATATGAATGTATTTGGGGATAGAGTCTTTAAAGAGGCAATTCAGTTAACAGGAGGTCATCAGGGTGGGCTCTAATCCAATACATCTGGTGTCCTTACAAGAAGAATAAATTAGGACACACATGCACACACACAGAAGGAAGACCATGTGAGGACACAGCGGGAAGATGGCCGTCTACAAGCCAAGGAGCGGGGCCTCAGAAGGAACCAACCCCGCTGACTCCTTGCTCTCAGACTTTCAGCCTCCAGAACTGTGAGACTGTGATTCCTCACTTGTGTGTCCTGATCTCTGAGTATTCAGTGTCCATGCCTTCCCGTCCCTGAGGCTTCAGCTTGTGAAATCTGAGGAAGGCGTAGTGCAGCTGGCATTCGTCTTGTGAGATGGGGCCAGCCCCAGCAGGGGCCGGGGAGTCTGCAGGGGTGTCTGTCCCGAACTGATGCTCCTGAGTGGAACAGAGAGAAGGGACTCAGAGCTGGGCAACAGGGTCTGGGAGAAAGCAGCCGAAGACCAGAATGGGACTGGGACTGATGCATGTTTATCATTTATTTACTCATTCAGTTATTCAAAAATAGTTGATAATTCAGATCGATCAGCCCTTGGTGAGTGTTTGTACTAATTGCATTATAGTCTTTTTAAAAAATGCTGGGAGAGGGTACTATTATCCTATTTGTTTTACAAATAGTAAAACTAAGGCTGGGGGAGGGTATAGCTCAGTGGTAGGGCACGTGCCTAGCAAGCCTGAGGTCCTGGGTTCAATCCCCAGTACCGCCATTAAAAAAAAAAAAACCACCCCAAAGCTAATTACCTCCTCACAAAAAAGTATCCAGTGCTGTGTGTCAATTATATCTCAAACTGGAAGGAAGAAAATGATTTAAAAAAACAACTAAGGCTAAGACAGATTATAAGCATTGCCCTGAAGACACGCATCTATATGTGCACCACTGAGCCAGGACTCAAAACCAGTTCTTTCTAACTGTGATGCCGTCCTTTGCTCAGGCTGTGTGAGGACTAGGTACTGTGCACGGTCCCTGCTATTATGTAACTTAGCGTTTTCTAGGAGAAGCAGTTACTAAACAAATAAAAAGCAGATACTTTTCAAGTGCTAAATTTGTGATAGGAGATATTTTGAAATAGAAATCCAGGGCGAGGGTAGTCAGGTACTAGAAGACAGACAGAGGTCAGATCTTGCAGTAAAAATGGTAACGGACCCCTCGCCCCTATCTTGCCACACCCTCAGGCTGTAGAAGCGTGAGACAGAACCCCTCCAACAGGAGCTCAGACAGGCAAAGACAACCTGTTCTCAGATTAGATTGCTGCCCAGCACAAAGAAGATAGGGAGAAGGCTGCCCATCTTAAGGAAGAGTAAGACGAAAATAAATGATAAATCAATGATGTCACTCTGCTACAGCCAAAACATGGAAAAGAAAGAAAAGGGTCTGTTGGGAACCAGGACTAAAGTCTCTGTATATGGATGAACCTCACCAATCAAAAGAGAGAGACAGTGGGGGTGGGAAGGGATAAATTGGAAGTTCGAGATTTGCAACTATTAACCACTATCTATAAAACAGATAAACAACAAGTTTCTTCTGTACAGCACAGGGAACTACATTCAATATCTTGTAGTAACCTATAATGAAAAAGAATGCGAAAACGAATATATGTTTGTATATGTATGACTCAACTGTTACGCTGTACCCCAGAAATTGACACAACATTGTAAACTGACTAGACTTCAATTAAAGAGAGAAATTTTATTAGAAAATGAGATCCAGCAATGTGGTTCTTCAGTGATTAATTCCAGAAGTATTTATGGAGGACCAACCGTGAATTAGGAGCTAGGCATTCCTCTAGACACTAGATTACAGCAGGGAATAAAACAGTAACAGCAGCAAGCCACTGTCCCGGGGACCTCCTTGCTGGGGGAGGGGGTGATTCTGACTGGCAGTGAGGAGGACTGCGCTTAGCATATGCCAGGGACTGCATTAAGCATGCCTCCTAATGGCTCATAGCTAGCCTGTGATACAGGTCCTACTAATATTTCCATGTCACAGAAAATAAACAGAGGTCAGAGACAGCACATCATTTGTCCAAGGGCACACAGCTTATAAGTAGGGAAAGACATGATTTGAATGCAAGCAGTCTTTTTTAAAAAAAAAATGTTTTGGAGGGGAGGTAAATAGGTTCTTATTTATTTACTTATTTATTTATTGGAGGGACTGGGGATTGAACCCAGGACCTCGTGCATGCTAAGCACACACTCTACCACTGAGCTCCACCCTCCCCGCAAAATGGGTGCATTTTATTATATGCAAAGTATGCCTCGATAAACAGGGCGGTAGACTTGAAAATGCAAAATGGGAATTGAGACTTTGGGGTGCCTCAGGCTCTCTACCCTACATCCTTGTACTCAGTGGGTCTGACACAGACTAGGCTGGGGCCACTACTCTTCCTCAGTAATCAACGCCCGAAGAAAAGGCCAATATTCCTACAAGAATACAATGATCTGACATATGAAGCATAAACACACCCAGGGAACCAACTGGACTCCACACATGTTCTGTGAGAAGCAGAAGTATCAGAGTAGCTGAATCAACCACTTACAGTAAGCACAGGTGGAATCCCAGGGAGGGCTGCGTGCTCACAGGGAAGTGCCCAAGGGCCCATACCAAGCGCAGCACCCGAAAGGATGACACTGAATAGGAGGCCATGTCCCATCACTCACCCGGGAGCCGGAGCCCACGACTTGGCGCCTATCATCCATGCTTTGCACTGGCTGGGTCTCCCTGCGGGTCTTCACTCTAAGGGAAGAGCCCCGGGCCTTTCAGCCTGGTTATTTGGGGGTATGGGGTAGGCAGACCATCCCCTACTGCCTATGAAGAGCATGGAATGAGGGAGGTGGAGGTGGGTCCAGTCTCCAGGTGCTTCCCCCAAACCAAGAGCTGGACCAGGGGCTGGGAAGAGACCTTGTGTGTGGTCCAACTGGCTATGGGCTGATTCGCACCATCACTCAACTTCCTTCCGTGGCTCAGGGTTATCCAGCCAGGGTCCTCCAGCTCAGGTTTTCTGAGATTCCATGACCTTATGCCCTTCCCACCACCCAGGCTTCTCCCTCCCTCCTGAGGCCTACACTCACCTGAAGATGAGGCAAAGGCTGAGAGAAAGCAGGACCATGAAGCCAGCTCCCCCAACAGCTCCCAGGACCCAGCTGGCCCTGGGCTGTGATTGACCTGTAGATAATTAGAGTTTTGTGTAAACTCCAACCCCAGTACATGGCATCTGCCCAGCAGGCCATTCCCTCTCTCTCTCCCTTTCTCTATCTCTCTCTCTGTGTGTGTGTATTCCTTTACTGTACCCACTTCCCATTCAGGGCTCAGACCTGTGGACCCTGGACCAAGCCCTCTTCCTGGGCTCAGGACTGAGAACCTTCTCCCCCAGCCACTCGGGTTGGGGCCTTGGGGGTGCTTCTCCTCCAAGGAGCTCCATCTCTCTGGGGCTGTTATGGGTTCCCCGTCCCCAAGTTCATATGCTGAAGTCCCCTCACACCCCAGTAACTCAGAATGTGCTCCTATTTGGAGATAGAGTCTTTACAGAGGTGATCAAGTGAAAAATGAGATCGTTAGGGTGGACTGTAATCCAATATGACTGATATCCTCATAAAAAGGGGAAATTTGGACACAGACACGCATGCAGAAAAAATAATGCCACGTAAACATGAAGGCAGAGATTGGGGTGATGCTCCCAAAAGACAAGGACTCCCAAAGATGGCCAGGAAACCCCCAGAAGCAAGGGGAGAAGGCTGGAACATTCTCACGGCCTCAGAAGGAATCAACCCTAACCATACCTTGGTCACAAGCTTCCAGGCCCCAGAGCTGGGAGACAATAAATCTCCATTGTTTAAGCCCTCAGTCTGAGGTACTTCATTATGACAGCCCTAGCAAACTAATGCAGGAGCCCAGGCTCCTCTTCCCCCAGACATCACCCCTCCGGAGCCCCCTGACCTGGCAGCAGCAGGACCCTGGCGCCCTGGGCCCCGTGGGCATTCTGAGCCTCGCAGCTGAGGCTGAGGCCAGAGCTGAGCCCCTCACTGAGGCTCAGGGAGCTGTTGGCCCAGGCCCCAGCCAAGCTGGAGGTGACCATGTAGGAGGCGTTGCTGAGGGTCCCCTCCAGCAGCCCCTCCCCCAGCCGCCAGCGCAGGGAGGGGGCCAGCTGGGCTCGGGAGGAGCAGCTGCAGTGCAGACCCCTGTCCTCCCAGGAGCAGGAGGGTCCCAGCAGCTGCGGGGGGTCTATGGGGAGGGGGGAGAAAGGTCAGCGGTCCCTCTTCCCTCCCCTGGACCCAGGTGTCCTGCCCCCAGTGG